AATTATACTAATGCAAAAATGGTACAGGCACAGACAAACAGACATAACTCTCGCAAGCTGTTCATTAGAGTGATGCAAAATTTGAAATTTTCGCTCCACAATACTTAAACGATTTCAAATCGGATCCTGACTAACCTCTCAAAATTTGACCCCATTTGGTGAGAAACTGAGATGGCACAAACCATTTGAAGTTTGTATGGGAATTACTATGATAAAACCAAGATTTTTGTTCATGTCTATCTAATAATTCACAATATCGGTCTGCTTCAAAAACTTTCAATTGTACTTGTAGCTACAACTTTGCTGAAGACTACTTTTTGATTAAATGCAAGGATCGAAAGTTATCGATGGTTCAATACGCTGATGTCTTATGATCATGCTCAATCAACGGCTCAGCAGGCAACATTGGTGTTTCTGGGGCGTTGAATAGGACACAAAAATCATGGCTACTATCTCACACTGCAAAATACAGTGTTGCCTACAGAGCAGCTGCTTGATCATGTCATAAGTTTACCAATCTCTTTAATAATTAATAACTTTTTCCAGTCTCGTTTTACATAGAAACTCAGCAAAGTTGTAGCTGAGAAAATTTTCTATAAGAATGGCTATCCAACTGTTTCGCAGCTCAATATGGAAAAAGACTAGAAGGCAATGAACAAAAAGTTGAGATTTCCCATAGTAATTTTACATGTAAACTTCAAATGGCTTGTGCGAAGTCTGTTTCTAACCAAATGAGTTGTAACTTTGGGAGGCTAATCAGGATCCGATTTGAAACCATTTAAGCACTGTGGAGCGAAAAAGTCAAATTTTGCATCAGTCTACTGTTCATGAAACACGCATTTTAGATAAACATTTCAAAAGGTCCTATCTGCGTTGATCGATTCTCTTCATCAACTTCCTCTTTCGTTAATAACGCAGCTTCAAAACCTTTCCCTGTTGTATTTGATGTTTTGGACGCTAAATAAAAATCTTCTATTTCAAACTATGCGGTAAAATTAGCGCGAAATCTATCTGCATAGCAGTGGTTATCAAAAGAGAAAGTCGATGAAGGGAATCGATCAACGCAGATAGGACCATTTGAAATGTTCATCGAGTGTTGTGATCCATAAAAAAAATTTAGACTTCCAATAAAAAAATTGTTTCGAAGAGGGGGGGGGGGGGGGCGGAAGATAAAAATAACCAATTTAAGCGTTACGTAATTTAATTTGTGAATGAAGCCTATGATACTTCGCATCAAAAACAAAAAACGTTCCTACGGCCAGGAAAAGGAATTTTTAAGATTTTTACTCCAAAGTAGCCCACCCACCCCTCACCATCCCTCTCCAAAGGAAGAGTTTGGTAAAGAGAGATGAAAAAACCGATTTGTACCTTCCTTAAAAGTTGTCCTAGCTCGCTATCCTACTTTCTATATGCAATTTTCACACTGCCGTACTCTAACGGAACTATCAACTCTAGACTTTCATCTCCTCTATCTATCGTATAAAAATTACCACTTTAGTCTGAGTTGGTTGGAAATGCTAACATGAAGCTTTAGTGTGATAATTTATTAGCTAGAGAATGATCTTTAGAAGAGAGTAGGTGGATAGTTCCGTTAGAGTACGGCAGTATGAAAATTGAATAGAAGTTGAAAATGAGCGAAGGGCCATTAATGCGGCAGTTTTTAAAGATAGACGCACATTTTTGCCTAACCCGTACGATGTACGCTAGGGTGTTTCATTTTGAAAAAAGTGATGAATTTTTGATAGGCCACCCTCCAGTTCGATTCATAGCCCCAAAATATGAACCTGTGCAAAAAATGGTAAAGATTGATGAAGGTTTAGAGGTCGCGCCAATGATTTGGATTTTGTATGGAGATTTTGGTGAATTAGTATGGGAAATTATTGATTTTCGTTTACATTGCTCTAACTTTGGTTGTAGTTGTCCAAACGTTGAAAAAAAAAAATATGTGGTTGTCATGACAATGATCAACAAGCCTGTTGTTGTTGCGATGAAATTGGCGTTGTTGCCTTGTACATATTCATCTGTCAATTTACCCTATTTTGCCATTTTTTCACATTTTTATAATTCTTGATACGCTGCAAAACTGAGCGTAGCAACTGTAGGCTTTTTGTTTATTGCCATAGCAATAACATACTAAATTTTTTCGACATTTGGACAAGTAGAAGCAAAGTTATAGCGATATAAGCGATTTTTTAAATTCTTCCATAGTAATTCCCATACAAATTTCAAATCATTGGCGCGACCTCTAAACCTTCATCAATCTTTACCAATTTTTGCACAGGTTCATATTTTGGGGCTATGAATCGAACTGGAGGGTGGCCCATCAGAAATTCATCACTTTTTTCAGAATGAAGCACCCTAATGTACGCGTCTGTTATTTGAAATTAGCTTCTTCAAATATAAACTATTTTATGGTCGGTTATCTATGATCTTTGGCCTAACTTCTGCGTCTGTTTCAATTGTCTATGTGCATAACGGAGGGACGCTGGGCTTTTATATATATTAATTTTTAACCATTTTCCGTAAGGGTAGGTATGGTTCACGTTTATGCGGACTGCGAAATAAACTATAACGTTCGTCATTGCACATTATTATTGGGGCGCGGAGCTTAACTTGCCACCTAAACAAAAATTCTTAGTCCGTAAATCAAACTTATAACGCCAGCCCTCCCTGATATTTTTATCGGCGCACACCTCTAGTAGATGTTTGCCAGCAGACGAAGGCTTTCATCATGTATTAGACGATATACTCACAACTTCACAAGCCAGAATGTCTAAAGAATCAAATATTGTCAAATTAATTCGCTCCTCCGGGGTCCCCCTCAACTTCTGACCAGGCATTACGACCTGTTACCTGTTACTTGTGCTACGCTAGTACGAGGTCAAAAGAGCCCAGTTTATTCCAAAAGACCTCAACTTACTTAACTGCCCCCTGTTTAGGCCGATTGATACATTTTAAGCAATTTTGATGGAGGACGAATGTGTGCGCGGGTTGACGTCCCTGGGTCCAGGAAACATCGGGAATGTCTTCAAAATTACGATTAATGGTTGGTTCTATATTAATATGCATACAATCCAATATCGAAATACACGCAGTTCCATTTTTAAATGGTCCATGCTTTTAATCGAATCCATGCTTTTAATGGGAATCGAACCCACCACGTCCAGCATGGCTTTTTTTATAGCCACATTACAGAGAACTCACAACATCAAATTATTCTATCAATCACTCTTTTAAAATTCCCATCGCATCATGACGTTAATCGGTAATTTTTAATAATTCAGTATTTTGATGCAACCATAAAATGCTTCCAGCCGTACTAGTCCATCGTCAATCTAGTGCAACACTTTGAACACAGCAAACAGTTCGTCTTTTTTTTCTGCCGACAATCGCGATAAAATGATAAACGCTCTAGTGCGGAGAGTGCTCTACATCTCGTTGATAGTGGTCATTACTAGTGTCGATTTTACCACCGAGACCAATATCGATTACGAGCGAAATGTGTCAAAATTGATATTCGAATTTATCGTCAACTATAAGCGGCTGCAATTCGGTATTGTTTTCACGTGCGACAAGCGGTCGTTTATGTTTTACGACGTGTCGAAGCGGTTGATGGAGGGAAACGTAACCTTTAGAGCGATTAATATCGACGATTATGGTGCCGTTGGGGACGATTCGGATGGTGGTGGTGGGGAGGTAATTAGCGATGGAAACTATGCGAAGTTGATGAGGAGTCTGATCGCTCATCATCAATTTGTGCTGCTGGATTTGGAATGCGAGAACTCGGATGTCGTATTACAGCAGGTAGGTTGAATGTTAATGGTTGACTGAAACTGTTGGCGAAGAGATAGCGGCTTGTAAGTTTGTTGCCCTAGTCATCCTGGCCACTGGGACGTGTTATGTACGAATCTGTAGTTGCTCCTGTCATACAATATGTCAATATGTCAAAAGTCCATACGCTGCAATGTACTGCAAAACATGACTAGTTTAGTTCTTTCGTCGAGTAACTGTTGTATGTTCCTGGACCAAATTATATTTACCAACACACTTCTCGTTTCGTTTTTAAACCACTGTAACATCGTTTTTCTTTCCTTGCCTTCACATCCAACCGGGAAATGTAAGATTCTAATAAAATTTTGCATAAACAGCATATAGAATTTGCAGTGTTTCCCCGCATGAACAGATACTGTAATGTGGTCGTCAGAAGGTTTTTTTTTAAAGTTTCAAGTTTTGGAAATTTTAAGTTACTTAATCTTTGATTCCCCAAATGCACTGTGCCTAGAAATTCTTCTCGTGAAGGTTTTTAACAAAAATATTCATACTTGTACGCTACAGTCCATTGTAAGAACTGCCATTACATTTGTTGTGAAAAAAATGCTAAGGATGTTGAAAATCGACCCTTTCATTTGATGTTCATGTAATTTGATTTCCCTGTAATTTGGGGCCTCCCTTAGCTCAGTCGGTAAAGGCGCAGCTACAAAGCAAGACCATGCTGGAGGTGGCTGGGTTCAATTCCCGGTCCGGTCTAGGAATTTGTCGGGTTGGAAAATTTCTCGACTTCCCTGGGTATAGAAGTATGATTGGACTTGCCACACAATTATACCAATGCAAAAATGGTACAGGCATCGAAAGCTCTCAATTAATAACTGTGGAAGTGCATCTAGAACACTAAGTTGAGAGCACGCAATAAGCTAATATGCGATATGCAATAAGCTTGAAATGCGAAGAAGAAGAAGAAGTAATTTGATTTACGAGTAGAGTACGCCTTTCCTGGAAGTTCTCAGTAAGGCAGATACAATGTGAAGTAGGGATATTTCATTTATACATTTTCTAGGTACTACAGCTTCATTTAAAAACCTTTCAACCCATATTGTCAAACTTTCCCACGCCTTTCAAATTTACGACACCAGTTACTCTCTTAATCTGTCCATTATTGCTTTCAGGCCTCCCGGTATGAGCTTTTTAACGCTTCGTTCCACTGGTTAATAATTGATAAAAAACCAAACACCGACAACACCACAGGCATCACCACCGGAACGATAGCAGTGGCCGCATCGAACCAGGAACGGTGGACCAGAATGTACCGATTACACTCCGAACGAAGCCGTCGTCGTTCGGTCAACAGCTGCCCATTGGCAAAACCCTGCTTGAATGTAGGCCGAGAGGACGATCCTGGTGATTATTACGATACTGGCCCGGCTGATGGTGATGTTGATGAAACATTTGGCCGCTTCGAAACAATGAACATCAGTATCAACGCGGAAATTACGTTGGTAAAGGCAACGACAGCGATGGCGAGTGCATCCTATCAGACCTTTGCGCTGTTCGATGTATGGTAATCGAAAATATAATATGCTTCCTTTAGATAGTCAAGCTTTACAGAATATGTAGCGTAGCTTTAATATTAAGGTTGGTTAAACCTTAACACAATTAGAAGCTGTCTTGCCACCCCTTTGAAATTTTTCGCCGATCGGTAGTGTGACTTCGCGCAAAATTACCACCATTTTACCAAACCCAACCGGGACATATTAGATTTTACTACAGATTTGCACGAAGATTATGCAGAATTTGCAATGTTTCGCGACATGAACATATTTCGTAATATGGTCACCGGAAGGAGTTTTTAATTTTTATGTTAGCTTATTTTTCGAAAAAAATTTGGTTACCAAAATACATTGCGTTCTCGCTTGTAAAAAATTAACGGATATGATTTTTTCCTTTACCAGCTAACGGCATATCAAAAACAAGTCACCATTAGCCCATCCTTCGAATAACTCATGAGCTGCACCATAGTGAAACATTTGAAAATAGTTGAGTTCGTTGTAGATACAGGTTGCTTTAACCTCACGATATGGTATCTCCGATGGGTCACTTCTTATCATGGCAATGTCTTGTTTATTTGATTGTGGGGTTCTTGGATTAGCAATTGAGAAGCAGTTGTCTCGGAATGCTTGGTGCTTAATATAACAATATTGACAAAAAAAAAAAGAACTTCTCGAAAAGTTCTCAGTTAGCCGTGCTAGCTGATGTGCCCCTAGGTTGTCGTTCATAGTTATGAACACAGAGCCGTATACCCTTTCTTCATAACCCCCACCTTGCACTATTATTCCCTACTCTTCAAGTGTTTTCAAATCTTCAGTAAGTCTTCTGAGAACTTTGTCTGCTCCAAAATAAGCGAAATATTTCGTTTTGCACAACAAAACCAGTGGTATGTTCTCCGTTAGATTACGCAGGTGTGGATCAAGATTAGCAATAGCCATGTACACACATTCTAATTTGTGACGACCAGTCGCGTTCCCAATAGCGTTTACCACTGCCTTTGCAGCATCCTGGTAAATTAAAAAAAATAATTGTTTTTTTTTCCCAAAACAACACTGTTTTTATACTTCAGACGATCAGTATAATCAGTACCCAAGTAACAATTTAACAGCCTTTTGGCTTTCACACTGATTTATTGTGGTTTTATGACGGCAATCGCAATCTTTTTCATTCAAATACAACATTCAATAGTGCAACATATGACAGTGAAGTGAATGCGGTTCACGAAGCACTGGTTACCGGCTTCCAGTGACACTTAATATTGATGGGAATACACAAAATATTGTCAATGGCATTTGCGTTGCGTTCTGAATAAAAACAGACCAGCCTTCTCCAGAAATAGCGTTGCCGCAGTGTAAAACTGGGGCTGCAGAAAACTGCTGATGGAAAATTCAGAAGCTGTCAGTCAGCTGGAAATTGGTCGCCTTCCGAACCATTCCAGCAGTTTCATTCTACGAAAGAGTTGACCCTACGAAAAAACCCAAGCAAGCACACATAAAATTCCTCGTAATAGCCGGAGGAGGGAAACTTTTCGGGAACGATTGATGTTTCACCTGTTCCAAATTACGTCGATACACTTCCTGATTAACTGCTTCCGATGGATGATATTTGCCCTTATCGAGGACGCAACTTGTGGATCCAATACTGGAGTAGAACCAATGATCGCACAACAAAACTATCGAAACATAAACAAATTTTGACGTTTAAGTTTTTCCAGACAACTTTGCCACCATTAATGCCGTCATAAAACTAAACGGAATAGGATCAAGCAAAATGACTTCAGATAAAAACAATTCAGTCTGCAAATTAACGTCATAAAAGCAGCATTAAAATATTTTGCATTTGTTATGGATTTCATAAAAGAAAACCAGCTTCTTCACGAATGGATTATGGAAAATTAATGTTTATGCAATCGCCATGTTGTTATTTTTCCATTTGTTTTTTTACTATCTTCGTTTTTCAATATGGTTTTCCTTAAAAATAACTTTATTCTCACCAATTCATCAATGATCAGCAATAAAGATTACGAAAATCATCAAATTATCTCAACTGGGCGCAATGATTAATATAAAAAATAGCTATATTCTGTTTCCTAAATTAAAAACAATTAGTAAAATCAACATTTTTCGAAGGCGGACTTATATTTTTCGATCTTCCGAAGCTCATTTCACATAAGATTTAATTTGTCACCTAAAAATAGACCACCATATGAGTTTCGATAATTTTGGTAATTATTTCAATTTAATGATGATGAAATTTATGACAGAACGGCGCCGGTGGTGTAGGGGTAAGCGTGATTACCTCTCACCCCAGCAGGCCTGGGTTCAATCCCAGTCGGCGCCGCCGGGATGTTCTGAGGCATAACATCTCTGATCACGCTTTCCTTCGGATGGGAAGTAATGCCGTTGGTCACCGGTTCATGAGTTGATGGGTCGATAGGTAGGGTCCAGGTGTGGGAGCTGCCTTCCTGGCACGTCGGTAGCATTGGTGCTCAGCACGGAAAACAAGATCGACGGAAAAACAAACCAATGGAAAAAATAAAAAAAGAAATTTATGACAGATTTATTTTTGAAAAATGAATTTCGCTAGAGTGGATGATATGTATCCCTTTTAATCTTGATTAATGCTTTATTTTTAGTGCGTTTATGAACCGTCAAAGGCAAATGGCACGAGTATTGGTGCCAAATGGCTTTTATTGTAGTTTTAATAAAGATTTTAAATAGTGCTCAATGCTTTCGTTGTATAACCTTTTTGCAGCAAATCAATCTTAAAGTAACTCGAAAATATGCCCTTCAAAACCTTCTCCAGGGTGGGCCAACTAGATAGATTCTAGTCTTGATGAGGTTTTGGGGGATGTAATAAAGGCAAAGCTGTCTTGACCAGGGTTTTATGAATGTTATTTTTTTTATGTGCGGGTTGCTTCATGTGGCTTGAAAGTTCTGTCGGAACTTTATTTGAACTTTATGGAAATTGAAAGTTCTGTCGAAACTTTATTTGAACTTTATGGAACTTGGAAGTGATTTTAATCGTTGAATGTGGAACTTTTGGTTACTTGGGTAGTGTCAAATATCAGACTTAAAGTGGTCATTTTATACGATAGATGAGGAGATAAAAGTATAGAGTTGTTAGTTCCGCTAGCGCACGGCAGTGTGAAAATTGTATATAGAGAGTAGAAAGCGATCAAAGGTCAATTTTGAGGAAGGCACGAATCGGGTTGATCACCTTCTTCACTAAACTACCCTGTTGCAGAGGGATGGTGAGCTGTGTCTCCCGTTTGGTAAAGGAGATGATCAACCCGATTCATGCCTTCCTCAAAATTGACCATTGCTCGCTTTCTACTCTCTATACACCATTTCCACACTGCCGTGCTGTAACAGAACTATTAACTCTATACTTTCAACTCCTCATCTATCGTATAATTAATTTCTTATCCTAACAGCTCTACTTTTAATGACCATAGAGCTGATTGGGAGCAATATCAAAACTACTAACTACTTCTACAGGGCGTTTATTGTCGTTGCCAATCTGCACCGTACCGGAGTGTGAGCCAACAACAAAGCCATGCTGTGTTCATTAGAACTTATCTGACAAATCAAACGACCCTTTTCAGGGTCACAAAAAAATTCTGGCTATTTGAATTTCTATCTTCTCAATGCAATAAGGGAGTTCTGTGTCAACCATATAAGATCACCATAAATACTTGTTTTTACGGCTACGCTGGACACGGGTTGACCCGATGGTTGGAAAGACAGCGCTAGCCTTCATCGCTACGAGAAATGGGCACTCAGAGAGCCCAGTTCCTTCAGGATTAGAAGCTTGGTTGCTACCGTTATGCTGGTTCCAGGAATTTCATTCAAGCCAAGATTAGTAGAATTCCTAAACAATCTCTTTTGAAATAAGTTGGTGGCCCTGAACAGGGCCGTTTCGGATAGGGAAAATGAACGAAGCTTAACCTCAGGTGCGTCCCTGACGCTTCAGGTAACAGCGCCACGAATTAAAGCCCTACAGTAAAAGTATGGACGTCTGTCAAAAGTTGTTCCAATCGAACCGTCAAAATGCACCGCTTTGCTCGATTGGAACAGCTTTTTTTCAGTTTTGTGGTGACAGTCGTCCATACTTTTACTGTAGGGCTTTACCACGAATGACGTTTTCCAGCAACACCTAACCTTGAGCACACTCGGGTTTTAGATCAGATCGGAGATACGTTTGACATCACCACGATGAGCCAGACGACGGACGGCGGACTTGGTAATACCCTGTAAGTTATAATGTAACACAACTGGCTCCTCCATTGCCTCACTTGCCACGTCCAGTCATTTTTTATCTTGTTGATGTTTCTTCGGGTAAGGTTGAAACGAATGTGACAAGAAATTCCAATATCCACATGGTATAATGGCCGCACCAAGCAGACCGCTCGCAAGTCCACCGGAGGAAAGGCTCCTCTAAAACAGATGGCCACCAAGGCCGCTCGCAAGAGCGCTCCAGCCAACGGAGGAGTGAAGAAGTCTCATCGCTACCGGCCAGGAACAGTCGCTCTGCGTGAGATCAGTCGTTACCAAAAATCGACCGAGCTGCTGACTGCAAGTTGCCTTTACAGCGTCTGGTCCGTGAAATCGCCCAGGACTTCAAGACCGATCTGTGCTTCCAGAGCTCGGCCATTAATGGCCCTACAGGAATCCAGCGAGGCCTATCTGGTCGGTCTATTCGCCATCCACGCCAAGCGTGTTACAATTACGCCAAAGGACATTCAGCTGGCTCGTCGTATTTGTGGTGAACGCTCTTAATTTCTCCGTCTAAATCTAACAAATGGCCCTTTTCAGAGCCACTAAAAGATTCCACAAGAGAGTTGGGAAGGAAATTTCTGCTGCTTACAACTGATCGCATCACAGTGAATCCTGATCTAAAAATTGCAACCAGCTAGTTCCCTAGAACCAAAAGCGGTGCGATGCTATGGCGATGACTGTAGAATAGAAGCAGAAGGGTGAAAGCCAATTCTCTTTATCGATTTCCTCTTTT